GCACAGTGAGACGTACCCGGAGTAAGTAGAAGGATGGGGATCCATTGTTCGAATTCCTCTTCTGACCTGCTGCTAACATCCAGCCCCTCTGATGTCCTCAGTAGAGCAGTCTGGGGACACATGCTGATCTACCACTTCATTCATTCTCTCTTCCATTCATTGAGGGGCCATTATTGAGCACCTATGGTATACTCTGTCTAGTGCCAGGTCCAAGGGATAGAGAGGTGGCAAGTCCCCACTCCTTGCTTTCAAATGCTCACGACCTAGAGGAAAGAGATCTTTCATGTAGCAATTATACAAGGATGCAGGTGGCCTGCTTATGAGGGGCCATGGAAGCAGGAAAGGGCCCCCCAAGTTTGCCTTTCTACAAAGTGGAGGATTCGGACACCATATTCCAAGGAACCTTTCTATCTGCCCACGGGAGAGGAGAGCCCAAGGGGAATTCTCTCTGAGTCCTGTGTTTTGGGGTCTTTGTTTAAGCTAATGATCTGCACAAATGGCAGCAGCTTCACCACAGCATCCCGGGCACTCCCGCGCAGAACATCCCAACTTCTCAGAAGACTCTTCTTCCTGAGAGCCCCAAGCCTTGACCCCACACAGGACATGCTGAAGTTCCCAAATGATACCTGAGCTACACTTGTCATTCTAAAGACTGCCTTCCTCCGCCAGCTTCTAATTAGAACATCTTCAGCTAATCACCTGCAGGAGACTCCCAGCAGAACCCTCCACCTACAAACCCCAAAGGAAAGCATGCCTGAGGGCAAACAGTACCTTGTGATTCCCCATGAATCTCCCTTCTCCTATTCCAGCTCACATGCTCCCCCCTGCCCCAACACACAGCAAAATGTGCCTCCTCTTTTAGCAGTTTTTCTTTTCCACAATTGAATGAGATGTCACACACGAAAAAGGAAAATCCTGGAAGAACTGGTTAAGGCTGGCCACTGCCGTCTGGGTAACTCCTGGTGAGTCACTTGGCTTCAGAAAGATGTCAGAGCACAGAGATGTTTGCCAGGGAGGTGGGGACCAGCCCCCAGGGACTCATGAGATCCCTCCCCCAACCTCCTGCGCCATGAAATATCAAGGAGAGGGGAGTGGGGTGAATTATGTGAATAGATGCGGTATTTTATGAAATACAAGAAGAAAAATGCTCTAAAACCCATAATCATAAACACAGCATATGGAAAAAGGAAAGAGCTAGTTTTGAGTAAGAAGCGTCTTTTATCTACTCCCATCTCCTCCCCTTTCTGGTCAATATTAGATACATAATCAGAGAAATTCTTAAATTTCACCCAAAGCTTACTTGAGTTGGAAGCTTGATTTTTCTGGTAAAGAAATTCCCTACCATGCATCTATTGCAAGAGGGATTTTCTTTCTCAAATGCTTTCACCTGTCAAAAGCCCTCTGTCCAGAAACTTACCAGATCCCTCTACTCTCTCGTTCTGCAAACTAGAGGGAAAAGGAGACCATGTCCAGTGTCTGCTGTGAGCCGGGCACAGACACAGACATCTGGCATCTTCCACCGGTTTCCAGGAAGTCTGTGAAGGCAGTGGGCTGCCCGTGGGCTCATGGGCTCAGAGAGTCCATGAGTCTTGCCAGGCAGCACCAGCTAGGGAGCAGCAGGGTCAGAATGCTCGGTAATCCCAAAGCCCAGTGCTCCCCACCCCCTCAGACCTCTCATTTGAAGAGACTGCCTGTTAAAATGTAGAGTAACCGAGGGCAGAGGCGTGTTTTCTCTCCAATCAACACAGGTTCCTGTGCTTGGCTTCCTTCATGCTTCTGTATTTTTATTCCTCTCTTAGAAACAGCCACGTGAAAAGACTGCTCAGTCACCTTCTCCTATTTGATCTATTTCCTCCCTCCCTTCTTTCCTCTCTTCTTTCCTTCCTCCATGCATTCTTTCCTTTCTTGATTATTAATTTTTTTAAAAAATATTCATTTACTTTATTCATTGGCCGAACCGGGTCTTAGTTGTGGCAGGCAGGATCTTTGATTTTCCTTTGTCCTGTGAACTCTTAGTTCTGGCATGTGGAATTTATTTCTCGGACCAGTGATTAAACACAGGCTGGCTACATGGTGAGCTCAAAATCTTAGCCACTGGACCACCAGGGAAGTCCCTTAATTATTAATTTTTTAAATTATGTATTGAGATCTGATAGATGTTAACATGCCCCCATCCATCAGCTTGTGATGAGTTTGTAATATAGTAATTCACTTGACCACCTGATGCAGAGAGTCAACTCACCGGAAAGGACCCTGATGCTGGGAAAGATTGAAGGCGAAAGGGGAGGAGGGAAGCAGAGGATGAGATGGTTGGATGGCATCACCGACTCAATGGACGTGAGTTTGACCAAACCCAGGGAGACCGGGAAGGACAGGGAAGCCTGATGTGCTGCAGTCTGTGGGGTCACAGAGAGTCGGACACAACTGAGCAACTGAACGGCAACGACATCCGCGGAATCGCTGCTCAGTTCCTTCCTTCCCTCTTCCCTCCCCCAGCAAGCTACATAAGGACTACCTCACTCTTTAAAAGCAGAGATCCATTGTACTGGTCCTTGAGCTTCACCGTTGCATGCTTCAGTATTCTGTGGTTTGTTCTTTTTCCTTGCTGTATAGTACTCCACTGAGTGACTATACCTCTAATTATTTATACATTCTACTGGTAACGAACATTCGGTTGTTTCCATTTTTTAACTGATGCATACAATGTTGCTATGAGCTTTCTCATACCTGACTTTTGATAGGTATAAACACATGGCATGCTGCAGTCCATGGGGTCTCAAAGAGTTGGACATGACTGAGCGACTTAACTGAACTAAAACACATTTCACTTGGGTATATAGCCAAAGGTAGACTTACCAGGTCATAATGAATGTTTTCTTAGTTATTATTAATTTTTATTTTAGCAGTGATATACATTATTATAAAATTAAGTAAAGAAAAAGTTACACTTCATCACCTCCAGACCCACCCTCCAGGGTATGTCTTAACACACTTTTTCACCTTCTCATACAACATACATGTGCACACGTATCATGTGCATAGAGTGTTTAACATTTATTTCTTTTCTCTTCCATTTTCTTTCTCAAAAATAAGATCATTTTATAACATTACTTGTGAAAGTGAAAGTCCCTCAGTTGTGTCCGACTCTTTGAGATCCCGTGGACTATACAGTCCAAGGAATTCTCCAGGCCAGAATACTGGAGTGAGTAGCCATTCCCTTCTCCAGTGGATCTTCCCAGCCCAGGAACTGAACCAGAGACTCCTGAATTGCAGGCGGATTCTTTACCAACTGAGCTATCAGGGAAGCCCGACACTACATGTGACTTGCGACACCACTTGTGACTTGCGACACCACTTGTGACTTGCTATTTATTTATTTGCTTAAATTTTGCTTATCCTGGCCATTGTCCAAGACTGACACATACAAAACTACTCATTCCGTTTATATAGTTGAAATAATATTCCAGAATAGGGGTGTACAATTATATTTTCAACCAATATTCTTGTTTGATGGAGGCGACTTCCAGGTTTTTCACCTGCAAACACAACGCTACAATGAAAATGTTGCGACATGTGCATTTAGCACTGCTGCTTTTAAGTTTCTCACTAAGCAGATTCCAAGAATTGTGATTTCTGGATCAAAGGATGTGTGCGTTTTCAAATTTAATATAGCCAAGCCTGACACAAATGGGCAAATACTGTGTAAAATTCTACTTATATGAGCTACATAGACTAGCCAACCATATAGAGACAGAAAGTAAAATAGAGCTAACAGGGGCTCAAGGGTTGGGGGAAGGCAATGGCACCCCACTCCAGTCCTCTTGCCTGGAAAATCCCATGGACGGAGGAGCCTGGTAGGCTGCGGTCCGTGGGGTCGCCAAGAGTCGGACACAACTGAGCGACTTCACTTTCACTTTTCACTTTCCTGCATTGGAGAAGGAAATGGCAACCCACTCCTGTGTTCTTGCCTGGAGAATCCCAGGGACGGGGGAGCCTGGTGGGCTGCCGTCTATGGGGTCGCACAGAGTCAGACACGACTGAAGCGACTTAGCAGCAGCAGCAGGGGTTGGGGGAGGGAGATGGGGAGTTCATGCTGAATGGGGACGGAGCTTTGGAAAGATGGTGATGGTGACGGCTGTACAGCCGTGTGAATGCATTCAGCACCTCAACTGTGCACTGAAACATAGCTAAAATGGTAAGTTTTATGTTCTGTATATTTTATCACAATACAAACCTTTTTAATTAAAAATTAACATGTAAGATAGAGAGCTAGTGGGAAGCTGTGTATAGCCCAGGGGGCCCAGCTCAGTGCTCTGTGATGACCTGGGATGGGGGCGGGGTGGGAGGAGGGCTCAGAAGACAGGGATGCATGTATAGGTATAGCTGGTTCACGTTGTTTACAGCAGAAACCAACACTACATTGTAAAGCAATTATCCTCCAATTAAAAGTAAATTTAAAAAGATTAAAGCATAACATACTCAGCAATGACTTTCTAAGACCATCGATTTACCAAGTGCAGCAGACGCTGCTGTCTCACCGACGTCTCTTCGGCACTCTCGATCTGGTATAGTTCAGCCGTGTCCAACTGCAAGCACCTGGACACCTCACCTGAGGGTTCTTGTGGCCTGCCTGGTAGAGCAGATGGACGTGCTGGAGAAATGATGCTCCCTGCCCAAGAGCCCTCGGCCGATGACAGGTGGGCACTGGAAGACAAAGGCCCTGGTCCCCTGCCTCTCAGGTGGGGCAACTCTGATTTAGTCGACACTCTAGAGGTCCTCTGATGAGGGCTCCTGGGAACCACAAGACAACCTGCTTGGGGATGCACCTGCTATTGGCTTTCCTTCCTCCCCACTCTCACCTCTCCACTACCTCTACTGTGCTTCCTGGGATTGCCTTCCAAGTAACTGACGGTCATAGTGTTTCTCAGAGTCAGCCTCCAGGGGGCCCAAGCCGGGACAGCAGCTCTCTGTTGAACTGACGCTTTGGGCCAACACTGCAGAAACAAGGCTCCATGGACTGTGAGGAAGCCTCCCCAGCCCATCGGCCCAGAGTCCAGAGAAGAGCATGACCTCTGGGGCCACCACATCTGGACATCCTGGAAGAGATCTGTGCGTATCAGTGGATACCGTGCAGCTGGAGTGCGGAAGGTGTTGAGTGTACGCAGGGGGACCCGCCTGGGCAAACTGCCAGAAGCCCGAGTCTGAAGCCCCGAGCCAGTAGGGATGCCCTGGCTCCTGCCGTGGGGTGTGACTCACATCTGCTGGGGCAAAGCACTCAGGTTCACGGAGCCTCTATGCTTCCTCCAAGAGGACCAAGTGAGCGAGTGTACGTGGACGTAAGCACGGGGCAGATGGTCGTCATTTGGGTTCATGCTTCCTTAAGAGGTGGACATCTGTGCCTGGGGGCTTAGAAGACAGCCACACCCCCACCTCCTCCAACACACACTCTATGCAAAGCCTTTTGGAGCAGTGGGATTCTTGAAATAGGAAGGATGGGAAAGGCTGCCATTTCCAGTGGCCTTGATGCTGTAATTAACAGTAACGACATGCTTTTTTAAATAAAATAAGCAGTATTTTATCTATTTATTTTTGGCTGCATCGGGTCTTAGTTGAGGGCTCTTCATTGCGGTGCATGGGTTTCTCTCTAGCTGTGGCTCTCAGGCAGCAGAGTATGTGGGCTCTGTAGTTGTGGCCAGTGGACTTAGTTGCTCTGCGGCATGCAGGATCTTAGTTCCCCATTCAGGGATCGAACCCATGTCCCTTGCATTGGAAGGCAAATTCTTAACCCACTGGACCACCAGGGAACTCCCACAATGTCCTATTAATGACCTGACCAACACAATTGGGCTGCCCTCTAGCAACAGAGAAAAAAGTTTTCTCATCAGTTTCATTCTCCTCATATTTATTCACTACTTACAAAGTGACTGGCGCTGTGCTGGCTGATGGGAGACATTGAAACACACAGTCCATGAGCACCCACAGAACACGCACACACTCATGTTCTGGTTGGGTGTGTACACATGTGAATAGCCAGGTGACTCTGAGCAAGTCATTTTCCTTCTATGAGCCTCAGTTTTCTCATCTGGGAAATGGGGAGAACCTCCTTGAATATCATACAGATGTTCCAATGATTCATCAAGCTGATTGATGGGAAAGAACCTGTCAGGTCCTTGCCTGGGACCCTAGGAAATATGGACTCTAGTAGCCCACTGTGTACTCACAGTCCGCCCCCCTACATCCCCCCACCCCTGCCAGCAACATGAAACAAAGACGAAATGTGCTAAACAATCAGTGTGGCTTATTAAACACAGGACACTCAAATTGTAGAATATACCACGTTTTATTTATCCCGTCATCTGTTAATGTCTATCTTTGTTGTTTCCAAACGTGGGCTATTATGAAGAACGCAGCTATGAACATTTTTATGTTCATACAGAACATACAGAGAGGCTTTGTTTTATTGTCCTTCACAGATACTGCATTTTCTACAAGTTGAAGGTTTCTGGCAACCATAATACCAGTTCTGCTGGTGCCATTTTTCCAACAGTATTTGCTCACTTTGTATCTGTGTCACATTTTGGTTATTCTAACAACATTTCATACTTTTAAAAATTGAATTTGTGACCTGTGGCCAGTAATTTTTGATGTTATGACTTAAGGTTCAGAGAATGGTTAGTTATTTTTAGCAATATATTTTTTTAAGCTGAGGTACATGGTGTTTTTTTATACATAATGCTTTTGCACATGTAATAGACTACAGTATAACCATAAATTTATGTGCACTAGGAAACCAAAATGCTTATATGACTTTCTTTATTCTTTACTCTTATATTTGTATTATTGCAGGGGGTCTGGAACAGAACCCATAATATCTCTAAGATATGTCTGTGTGTCTCTGATGGACATACACATTTCTGTTGTATGGACACTAGGAGTGAAGATGTTGTTTCATAAATTATGCATGTATTGAACTTTAGTAGATAAGGTCACTCAGTTTTCCAAAGCAAATGGTACCAAATTCCACTCCTACCAGCAGTGTATAACAGATCTTGTAGCGCTATGTCTTGGTTAACACTGGGTATTGTCAGTTTTAAATTTTAGCCATTCTGGTGAGGCTGTAGTAGAATTGCACTGTGAATTGATTTTGCAGATTCCTGATAACTAATTCAAAAAGACATCTTCTTAGAGGTTTATTGGCCATTTGGATGGCTTTTATTCATGAAATTCCCATTCAAATCAGTTAGCTACCTCCTTATTAGAGTGTTGCTTTCTTATTGATTTTTAAGCACTCTTCACATATTATGGCTATCAATCCTATATCAACTATATGCATTGCAAGTATCTTCTCCCACTCTGTGAGGGTATTTCAGAGAAATATCTAAATGTGCACATTAAATCTAATGTGCCTAGAACACACAACTAGTAAGGTCTGTCATCTTTTCTAAGGACACACGGTAAATGCCCACAAGTCTGCCTTCAAGTTATGCTAACACCACAAAACCTCTGGATTTAACACATCCTTAGCCAGGCATAGAGCATTGACATTAACAGTCATCGACTGTGAATGGGTAAGATAATTATTTATTGCTAATTAAAATAATAACATGTTGAAAATTCCCTGGTGGTCCAGTGGTTAGGAATTCCCAGTGGTTAGGAATCTATGCTTCCATTGCAGGGGGCATGAGTTTGATCCCTGGTTGGGGAACTAGGATCCTGCAAGCCATGCAGCACACACGAAAAAGAACTGCATGTTGGGATAAGGCTTATACCCCAAGGTTTTGCATCATTACAAAATAACCTAGTTGATTAACATATGCCTCCTATAGAAACCCTTAGGGTTTCTATTCATTCAACTATGTTCTGAACAGAGGATGATACTCTTGGTGAATCCCTAAAGTATGCTCAGGGGTTGCTTCTCAAACCAGCAGCATCAACATTACTTATTAGAAACCAAAAAAAACCTGAGGTGCCACCTTAGATCTTTGGAATCAGAAAGTCAGGGGTGGAACTCAGTCATTTGTGTTCACACAACACCTTCAGGTGATTCTGATACATGGTTCATGTCTGATAACCACAATTCTAATCAATCTCATATTTATTAGGATGCAAATGGTCATACTGGGTCCAGAGTTTCAGCTTTCTGTGGTCAACAGCTCTTGCATGTCTTCCAGGCCTTCTCCCAAGTAGATAGTTGGTACAAAAGTAATTGTGGTTTTGGACCATGAATTTTAAATCAGTATAATTAGGCTCAGACACATCTTTATTAATCAAAATAGGAGCCATTACAATCAACACATTTTTGCCAAAGAGAAATAAGTTGTTTCTTCCTGTAGCATAAAAAAAAAAAAAAAAAAAATGTGCTTTAAGGATTTGACTATCTCTTGGAAAGCATTTTCTGCCTCCTGCTGGTTGTAGAAACATTTTCCCTGCAAAAATTTGTCAAGATGCTTGAGGAGCTGGTAGTCAGTTGGCAAGAGGTCAGGTGAATATGGCAGGTGAGGCAAAACTTCATAACATGACTCATTCAACTTTTGAAGCATTTGTTGTGTGACGTGTAGTCAGGCGTTGTCATGGAGAAGAATCAGGCCCTTTCTGTTGACCAACACTGGCTGCAGGCATTACAGCTTTCAGTGTAATTCATCAGTTTGCCGAGCATACTTCTCATATATAATGCTTTCACCAGGATTCAGAAAGCTATAAGGGTCAGTCCAGCAGCAGACCACCAAACAGTGACCATGACCTTTTTAGGTACAAGTTTGGCTTTGGGAAGTGCTCTGGAGCTTCTTGGTCCAACCACTGAGTTGGTCATCACCAGTTGTTGTGTAAAATCCATTTTTCATCATGCATCACAACCTGATGGTGAAATGGTTCGTTGTTGCTGTGTAGAATAAGAGAAGATGACACGTCAAAACAACAATTTTTTTGATTTGCGTTCAGCTCATGAGGTACCCACTTATCAAGCTTTTTCATCTTTCCAGTTTGCTTTAAGTGCTGAATAATTATAGAATGGTCGACGCTGAGTTCTTCAGCAGCTTCTCATGTGGTTATAAGAGAATCAGCTTCAGTGATCCTCCTAGTTGGTCATTGTCACCTTCTGCTGGCCACTGCTGCTTTATGACCCATTTTGAACTTGAATAAAAAAAATCACTTAAGTTTGCTTTTTATCTAACACAATTTCTATGAAACTGGAAGTCGCTCAGTCGTGTCCGACTCTTTGCAACCCCGTGGACTATACAGTCCATGGAATTCTCCAGGCCAGAATACTGGAATGGGTAGACTTTCCCTTCTCCAAGGGATCTTCCCAACCCAGGGATCGAACCCAGGTCTCTTGCATTGTAGGCAGATTCTTTACCAGCTGAGTCACAAGGGAAGCCCAAGAATACTGGTGTGGGTAGCCTATCCCTTCTCCAGCAGATCTTCTTGACCCAGTAATTGAACCAGGGTCTCCTGCACTGCAGGCAAATTCTTTACCAACTGAGCTATCGGGGAAGTCTGCAATTTCTATAATCTAACATAAATATAAAATACGCAGCAAGTAATAAGTCATTAGCAAAAAAAATAACAAAGTGAGAAATGCACATTAAAATGATGTATAAATAATCATTTATTTAAGAATGTATTCCAATACCAAACTGCAAAGTTCAATAAATAAAACCACAATTACCCTGCACCAACCTAAATAATTTATAAATACTATCTCACTAAATCCTTGGGATAAAAAGGTGTAGTGTAATTAATTCCATACTACTGATTAAAAAGAAGCTAGAGCTCAGAAAGGTTGAGTGACTAACCCAAGTTCACACAGTTCACAGGTTGCTAGAGCAGGAGTTGAAGTCCATGTTGTTTGAATCCAAGGTCAATGACTGCCCCCCTTGCTGCTCCCGAAGTCCTGACAAATCCTGGGAAAAAAGTCACTATCGGGGCCTTGCCTTCTGTCCTCAACCACATACTCTGGATTGAGAGCTGAGGCCTTAGCAAACACTAAATTCTAGAATGTTGGAGCTAGAAATGTAAACTATTGTTTATAGGATGGATAAACAACAAGGTCCTACTGTATAGACAGGGAATTGTATTCAGTATCCTGTGATTAACCATAATGGACAAGAATATGAAAAATAGTATCTATGTATATAACTGAATCACTTTGCTACACAGCAGAAATTAAGACAACATTGCAAGTCAACCATACTTCAATAATTAAAAAA